ATACAGAGTACTTATTTTGCTTTCAAACGCGAATCGATCGGGTTCTTCAAAAGCCTTGATCGATGGTTAGGGTACAAGTATTGTCAGCTTCCCTATCATTTTCATGAACAGGGATGTGATTACAATGGGATGAAATTTCAGACATATGCTTGGAGTCACGGAATAAGATATAGGGACCATCTTGCTATCTTTCCGGACAGCTGAAAACAATCTATTAAACATGCTAGTTAATGAACGGGACCGTATATCGTGACATTTCATCGGCATAAAACTTGACACGCTCTTCGTATCTAAACTTTATGAAAGCTGTGGAGATACGAGACATCTGAAGGTATTTTTCACGTTGAGTTTTGGGCAACATTCTTCATTGGAAATGGGTGAATAGAATGGAATGGGACAGTCTGGTTGGGGTGTGCAGGATTTGTTTGAACCGCAATCATCAGCATATGCTTTGCTATCGAGGTATTTGCTACCAGGTAGTTCTCAAAAAGGTTCCGACTTACTGAAAGATCCTTTGTGAGACGAAGATGATGTGGCCACTATCGATGCACGGACGTCTACTGTCGGTCATCAAAGTTTAACCACCCCGTGATGGATCCACGATTAAATTTATTAGATGAGAAAGACACGAAGAAAGCGTAGGAAGCGTGTGTTTCAGGCGGAAGACCGGAGATAGAGGAGAATATTTCTAAATGTATGCGTAGCTTTGTGTTTAAACTTATGATTTTAGTTGACTGATCGATTGTCTCTGTCTAATTGCAGACATGGTGAACCCAAAACACACTTTGATTGGGCAACCTCCAGGCCAACGTTTTCTGTATCTACATCCTTATCAAAAAGTCCCCGGTTATGTATCAGTCGCGAAGGCTTGGTCTCAAACCTAATTAAAACGTTCAGTCGACCGACAGCAGCGTTGTCACCGGCTGTATATAGTCTTTATTTATCTCAGGCCAAAGAGAAGATACACCACAGAAGCGTAGGGAAGGCTTCTCACTGATGCGACAGATATCCAGACAAACCTTGAGATGGGATGTCTCCCCACCAATTGTGTCTTTCAAAATATCGCTGTTATGTATACTCCGGTCTATACACTGGAACACCCATTACATAAAGTATTTACCGTGTGAAGAGTTTCTATGCAATATTTTCTTATATCTGAAGGCTGCTTGCGCAGCTGGCCATATATTTTGGACAAAGCACGTGTGGTGTAACTTATTTTACAGTGATGGAGTCTGTGCAATAATTTGAAAAGCTGAAGTACATGTAGCTCAGAATGCACCAATGGCTATCGGTGAAGGTAGCTACACCACCTCCACATTTCTTAGTGGTTGCATCAATCCTTATGGAAAATTTCGAAGCCACAAAGAGAAATTAAAAGGTCATCATGTGACTAAGTTCCTTGGAATGTAGTTACTCTACCTTTGCGGTACACACTGAAGGATAGAAGATATTTTAAATAACCGCTTTTCCCTGCAAGAACCTGCAGTTAGTGCTTATAAGTTCTGGGAAAGTTGTTTGAAATGAAGTTGTTTGCTTTAAGGCGAGTTATCATCCACTGTAATGCTTTTTCTTCATCTTGTTTGATAAAAGCATGGCAGCTGGTTGTAAACTTGTTAAGAATGTACGTGAGTATATAGTACGTTCAGAAAACATAAAGCGATCGAAACGACCAAAAGCATAGACATGTTTGATGTGATGTTTGAGATGGAAATTTTATTGACCCAAATGTTTGAGCAGGAATACTGTTCGTAAGATTCTTGCACGGCAGGTCATCCAGAATGGCACCAAGCAGCTAGTACTTATCTCAAAGGCCACTACCTCAAAATTTATAACAGACATTTGGGGTCATAGGACTAGTTGCACACGTGTGAATGGGGTCTAGCATTTTACAAAGGACAGAGAGTTAATTTACTCGCTGAACCCACCTCTCTATTAATAATGGGCCCGATAGTTTTGCGTAAGTTCCATGAGTTTGTTGGTTCCACACTACCAGGCATATTGCAATCATTATATATTATTTTCCCTGTCTCAGCCACGAAGCGAAGCTGAAAGCTGTAGTTGTCTGACCTGCTGTGGTACTCAGAGGAGGAGTTTGGCGGGCAACAACTCCACTCAATGGCGATAGTCAATCGTTTATTGATTTTGGCGGTGGTCTGCACCGAGCCTCATACACTTTTTTTCTGGGTTGGCCCATGGAGCGCCTTTGAAACCTCACCTCTTAAAAATCACGCGCACAGTTCCACGACCACAAAGTCTGGACCATCCAAACATTGAGTAGTTGTCCGTCAAAATGCATGCATTAGAGGTATCCCTTGTGCACCACACCTGTGAAATGAGAATTATGGACGCATAACAGACAGACCACTGACTGAACAGAACATTTCATCCGTGCGAGATATGTGGGGATAATTCTTTGAGATATCGGTAGTGCATCAGCAGGGTAGGTGTAACCATCTAGCCTGACATACTTTGTGAAGACTAGGTCTATACAAGTTGAGGGTGACGGATCACCATCCGTCGTGCCCATTGTTTAATTTGTAGGTGTCTCAGTGATTGATGGGGAGAGGTAAGGGCGTGAGAAACTTCGGCCAACTTTTGTCTTAGCGCCGCAATGATCACCGTCCGACCTGAGTGCCTTTCAGTTCTGACGGAGTTTGCGACGTCAATCCATTACCGAATTTCCATATGCAACACTGACAGGGTGTCTAGGTTGGATATAACTTGGCATTACATTAGGGTGTCTTGGATGTCATAATTATCTGAAGACCAGAGGGATATCTTGCATTAGAAGATAAACTAAAACGAAATAGAACAGAGCATGCTAACTTGTTAGTTCTCTTTCCTAGGTAGTAAACATTCCAAACTGGCCCTTTCAGATTGCATTCTGATGAACAGTGGCTCTTGATACGGTGCAGGGGGTAATTCCAAGCTATATTTGGCACTCCAGCACTAAGGTAGGATTGCATCCGGCCCCTCACCTGAGAGCTAGTCTTGCTGGTCTCTCGCACCTTATTGCACTGCCAAGTGGAAGGTTACTTTACAAGCTAACCGGACACAAAAACCGGAAGGCACTTCAGATCATACTCTGTATTGTCAGCTGCTTTCCAGATTTTCAGAATAAGAGGCTTGGATTTATGCGCACAACTGCAAACGTCAATCGTCGGATCGCGTAAGTTCAGGGAAGGGCTACCATCGTTGGCAAAGTTTTGGGCGAAAGGCTGACTTTCGTTTCTCTTCAGAAGATCGTGTAGAGAATGTTAGAAATGTGGCTAGAATTTGATGTGAGGCAAATAATTGACGACTCGAGAAACAACGGAGATGATAGGTATCAGTTTTGCCAAGTTTAAGTATAGTATTCGCAAGTTAAGCAATCACAGTGACTTTCCTTGCTGGTTGATAAGTTTTGTTAAGTGCTTGAGTCACTGAGTATCCAGTTATCCGCTGCCTTGAAGGAGGAACGGATATTCATGTGAATTTTGCACCGCGATGATAGAACCGTTGCTCCATTATCTTGCTTTTGGTATGAGACTTACGGCAGGAGAATGGAAATGGCATCCAGGCAAGAGATTTTGGAATTTTCCGAAAGAGAGATGACATTCAGGTATAACAGAAATCAACAGAACTCTAAAGCCATGGGGAAAATATGTGATAACACAAGATTCCTAGTAGATGTAGTCATAGGAGCCGCTTAAACCACCACAGGAATCTGTTAGATACACTCAGAGTGAAAAGCGCGATTATGTACTCCGTGATGATGAAACAGAATAATATCTGGAATATCTCATAAGGTTCACAGTACTAACTTTTGCTAGCAAATTCTAGAATTTCACCATACCTTCTGTCAAGCTTCAAGAAAACTTGATGCGAGCATGATAGTGGAGTCCCTTTGGGGCTTATTCATGGAAAACATAGGCCTCGCAAAATGCGAAGTTTTCGAAGCTAAAATCCTATTGGTTTTGCAGGTTGTGATGGCATTCGCCCATGTGTACACAAATGACGTACTAGTGTTCCATACATCTCAACAGTAAACCGCCTCAGTTATTCACTCCCAAGACGATGGTTGCCCTCCTACTTGAAACAGGTGACAGTAATCTCGCTTCACAAAGCAGACAATAAAACGAGTGCTTCAGACTCTGGGTAAATTTTTCGGATCATTTCAATTGCAGAGGTTACGAAAATGGTAGTGAGTCACTCATTTGGTGGTTATTTGCCCAAAATCTCAATCCTACTCAATAGAAATACGACATAGCACCTGGCATCATTCACACCCCCGAACTGGTAACCATGCGGGATTGATAAACTTTCCATTTAGAGCATGAACATACAACTGGCACTGGGATGCTTGACTTCGCTAAGTTATTCAACGTGATTAGTCATGATGCATTATACAAAAGACTTAAGCGCGTTTGAGGGTTAATTTCTCTATCCGTCCTAGTCATAGTTTTGCCCAATATTGTGTTACTGGTCCCTGGTACTTAGCTGAGTGGGGGAGCTTACTGGGCATCGTTCATGATATTCCTTTTGCATTTTCGAATGCCTTACTTGTCTCTTATATCTTCACTGATTATTAAGGACAAGTAAAAGGAAATATGCGGGTCAGTGGATAGTTCCCTCTGTCAGGAGGACAGGAACCAGAAACCTTTTCTTTGTGAAAACCTACCATGTGTCCGATAAGGAATATGCAGTCAGAGAATTACTTCATTCCGCGCATGGAATATACATATACATATGTACGGAACATACGTTACCATCTGAGAGAAACTCCTTCTGGTAATTCTCCCTTTCATGGAAAATCTGAGCCCAGAAGTCACCAAAACTTATCTTGTGATACATTTCGCTCTTTAAAAGACCGAAAGTTATATTGTCAAATATAACTCTTGTTGATGCAGTGATGTGTAAGTCGTGAGAAGTTAAAATTTCAGAATCAATGTGGAATTGTGATTTGAAATTTAAGCAAGTGAAGAAATAGGGACGTAATGCTTTTGTGTTTAACTGGCTCAGTAAGATGACGTTTGTCTTACGAGGCACTTACAAAGCCATTTCAAAAGACCTTGGTATTTTCATTACTTCGTTTCTAGGTTGGGCAGGCTGGCTTAAAGCCTTATTACTACCTTTTTTATATTGGTTGCATAAAAGTAAAGCTCTGGTGAGGCTTAGATGCAAATTTTGTGCAGAACAGCAGTATAAAAGTTCCGATACTGTTTTGTATGTATGATCCAAAGAAATCCTCCATTAACTCACACAAGTACACTTATATGTTATGTGTATAAAGTGATACAAAGTGACGAGCATTTTTTGAAGTACTGAGGTATGATGAAACAACAGTCACTGTTGTTATATACATTCATACACATGGAATTCACATAGTTTCTATATATATCCACTGAACTGCAGTCTTGCAGACAAGCTTTGACAATGCATTTTTATCTTTATGGGGCTTTGCTAGCATTTCTGATGGGGTGGTGCGTTGTTTCGTTGAGAACAAGATTAGAGCCCTGCATTGCCATTTAAAATAGTATCCAGTACAACAATGAGACAAGTGGATTTACTTTGTGATGTGCTGTGTTTGAAGTGATTATTTTTGGTTTTCGAAACGTTTACCTTGTAAGTTATCCCGTGATTTACCGCTTTAAGATAGCAACTAAGCAGCAAGAGCTCAGGAGCTGTCAGTTTCATATACTTGCATTATTGCTGTTGGGTGTCGAACTTAGGCGAAAGCTTCTGTGCTGTTCGCAACAACTTAAATAAGTGCTGATTATCTAGTTTAGGCTTGGAAGCCGATTAAAGCAGTGCTACAAATATGCGCATTTACTGTTGACATTGTACCATTTGACCAGGTAGTGAAGTAAAAGTTCCATGTTTGTGAGGACTATAATGGATGAGGCGAGGAAGTCAAGGATAAATATGGCTTCTTGACTACTCTGAGATGTGGTTAAATGCAAAAGATGTTTAAATATGAAGGAAAGAAGGATTTGTAAGTTCAGATCAGGCTATTACATTTTGAGTTGAAAGATGTGGAAATATTAGTTGTACCAGAAGTATTATTGAAACATTTAGTTTTCTTAGTCATTTTCAGCCTATTCTGAGAACACCTAATCAAATTACATTGGTGAATCTTATTATCAGCCCCTCACTATCAGCGTGTCGTTGAATCACTATTCAGTTGTCCAAGTTGTTATCCTTGAAATCAGCACACCAAGGTAGGAGTTGGAAAGAGGTACGTCAAGAAATAGAAATTTAGTTATAACATGTAGGAAGCCAGGACAAAAAAAGAGGGCTTGAAGAAAGCGGTGGACGGTGCTAAAACTACTAGGATGAAAAGGTTTAGATGCATCTGTGCACCTGCGATAGGTTCTGAACTACATGGATTAGTCTCCTGTCATCGGTTTAAATTGTGTCCCATTGGTTTTGTGAGCTGACTTTCAACTAACGGGTCAAGGATTCGCACACCGCCCCACCTACAAAGGTTTAAGTAGATGGTTAGCAACACTAACCCTCACAGGCGTTGCTTGTTGTTCACTGTACGAATGGGCATGAGGCTGCCGAGTATTTGTTGGCTCAATTTGAATCGTCTTATCATTCCCCATGCTGCCTGGATAATTTACCAGGCTTTGTGGGTCGACATCCTTTCTTGGTTTATCCAATACGAATTTTTCTGCGTAAACATACTTTGGCAAACATTTTGCACTGGTGCCTGCACTTCATATATAGCTGTTCTATCACATGTGTGCAGTCCTAGGAGGTAAAAACAGTCGAATACCTGGATCTTTAAATTCCTTAGAAGTTGTGCATGCATTTTTGGAGTTTAAATAATTATCTACTGTGTTATGCGAGTGCTTTGATGTTCTCAATGAGAATGAGTGACACAGCGTGGCAAAGCTTTTTATGTGCTGAGCTGTGAGCCACACTAATATGGGTGGATCTGTAACTCAGTGGTTTAGGTACTCAACTTTGAACCAGTGGACCAAGGATCCAAACACCAATCCACCTACCGAGAAACTAAATAGCACCATAAACCCTCAGTTATAGCTCACTGTCAATCGCACGTTGTTGCTGAAGGCATTTCGAAAGTTATCCAGGTTTCATTTGCTTACTAAGCGATATTCATTCACCTCCTATTGACTTAAATCATTTCTGTCTCTGTTAAACACATTTTAGATGGATGTAGCGAAGTTCTTCCGCATTAGCAACGAAAAGCAGGCAATCTTGTTACAGCTGGTTGCAGTGGGTATTGCTGCTGTTTTAGGTAAGTCTCTTCGATTGTTGTGAACTAAAATGAAGCCTTTGCCATCCGACTTTATTCTGTCATTCGTTTTGAGTCAGTTATTCATGAATTTGACCCCTATTTTAATTATCGTACTACACGATTCATGACTGAAGAAGGGTTTTACCAGTTTCATGACTGGTTCGACGACATGGCGTGGTACCCTCTCGGAAGAATTATTGGAGGAACGATTTATCCTGGTACGTGTATCAAATATGCAACTTAATTGATAGGTCTTATGGTCACATCGTCATTCATTTATTCACTGCTTCATGCTATACACGTTACTATTGACGTACGAAATGTCTGCGTGTTCTTGGCGCCCTTATTCTCCAGGTAATTCTGTACAATAATTTATCCTTGTAGTTTTACGACCCTAGTGACTTTCATGCTGACAAGTGAGCTTCAGGATAGTGGGGCTGGTTTGCTAGCCGCTGCCATGGTCGCCATCGTACCAGGCTACATTAGTCGATCAGTTGCAGGTTCCTATGATAATGAAGGGATCGCCATATTTTGCATGCTGTTTACGTTTTATCTTTGGATAAAAGCTGTGAAGACGGGATACATGTTTTGGGCTTGTGCTTGCAGTCTTGCGTACTTCTACATGGTTTGTTTTTATTTTCTCTTTTATTGTAACTAGGTTTCTTCTTGGGGAGGATATGTATTTCTAATCAACATAATACCTATTCATGTATTGATTCTAATGCTTACTGGAAGATTTTCCAGTCGTCTGTATACTGCCTATTCTACGGTAATCTCGGTTTTTTAGACGAGCGTTTTATAGGTTTACGTTCTAGGTACCATACTGTCAATGCAGATTAGCTTTGTCGGTTTCGCCCCTGTAGTCTCCAGTGAACATATTGGGGTGAGTTTTATATTTAAAAATATTATGATTCCAGGCTCTTGGAGTTTTCGGACTATGTCAGCTGTTTGCCTTTTACGCTTACCTTCGTCAAGCACTGTCTCCTGAGCAGCTGTCAGCAGTTTTACGTGTTTTTGGCTTGTCAGTATTTAGTATTGCATTGATTGCTGGTTCAGTTTTGTCCGCTACAGGTAAGGAAAATTTGCTTCTAAATATAGCACGTGTAAAAAGTTTGTCCGACCTGTTATTTTGTATGCTCAGTTTTTGCATATTTTTTCCTGAATTCATATATAAGATGAAAAGGCAACTATCAGTTCCCTTGTTGGTCGGAAATTAATTTCTAATGTGCCAATTTTTTAAAGAAAAGATTACTTTCGGATCAAATTGCGGTGCATAAGTATAGTAGTAATCATTATTGCTTTTGAAATGATTTCATTCTATGAAAACTAAAATATATGAAATTTAGATGAATAAAACAAAGCTTAATATCCAGTATTCACGCATATATAAGAAGTATTTGTATCGATTTGTCACCAGACTTAATCATAAAGGACTTTCTTTTATCTGTAACCAACAATATTTCGTAATCTTGAGACATTAGACCTGTAGTTTTTTTCCATGCGAATGAAAAGCTCAACCTCCACTGTAGTACTCCTCGTATACCTTTCACCACATATTACTATTAGTTCATGTTACTAACATGACTGATTGTCCGCTATTCAGACAACTGGACTACAGTTTACCAGTTGCTACTGGTTACTAACCTTATATGGAAGCAAAACGTTTTATCCCGGATACTCAGAACAGGGAAAACGAATTTATATGTTGCTATCAACCTTATAACTGCTGAAGTATTTGGAAAGTCCACATCAGCCTTTGCCTCTTATGAAACTAAACCTTGATCTAAACCAATCTTCAAGCAACATCTCGCGTGCTGGAGGTGAGAATTGAATTCAAAGCCTGAGAAGTTTGCCTACAAATTTATGAAAACACTGTACATTTTAACACCCTAGTCTAACAAAATCGTTGGTGATATAGAAATCAAGCGATCTCAAAACGCATTCACTTTCCGTATTACCAGATCATGTTTTCTAGACAGCAACTGTTCTCACGGGAGTTAGTAACCAGCCGAAGCATTTCCAGTCACTTGTTGCTGTGTATGCTCCAGTTCAATAGCTTAAGTGCATTTTTATCAACTGAACAACCATGGATTTAGAGTAGCTTCCCTACTTTGGTTAAGTTACGTGAGCAGCATCATTAGTATTTGATATCGTTAGTATTTGACATCACAGGGACTGATCTAATCACTGGAGAATCCTTGGTATATCCTTGGATATGCAGATAACATAGTCGTGTTACGTGATGCTGGCAAAATGGATAGTCTTCTGGAAATCTTGAGCGGCAATCTGAGAATGTTTGGTATGCATCTCTCACCACTTGAATGCAAGCTGTTGCTCCAGGATTGATCTTCAGTGATGCTCACTCTAACAATAGAGAGTGAGGCCGTTGAGTGCATTGACCACCCCATGTACCTATGAAGTTGAATTAGCCCTGGAGGTTCAGTGACCAAAGAAATCTCTGCACGGATACAAAAATCTGGACTAGCTTTCACTGGCTTACGCCATCTATAACGCCGCCGCGGTATCTGATTGTCGATTAATGGCCAACTGTACTATGCTGCACTCCTCTCTGTTTAACTGTATGACTGTGAAACATCGCCACTAAAGGTAGAAGATAGGAGAAGGCTTCAAGTGTTTGGCTACCGTTGCCTTCGTAACATAGGCCATGTGTCGAAGTGTCACCACGTGAGTAACGCATAAGTCAGATATAGAGTTTTAGGGAAGATACGAAAGTCAGCTGATAAGATCGTAAACCTTCATCGTCTGAGACGTTTAAGACATGGGTTACGCATGCCACGTCCCCATCTGCCTCATCGCGCAATGTTAGCCGAAGTAGGTTCAGACTGGGAAAGACTTGGGGTTGCTAGACTGAAATATGGTATCAGTTTATGGAGTCTTTGGCTGTTAGTATGGGCCATGTTGGGAACTGCAAGCTAGCCAATTGGGTTTCACGGTACAACAAAAATCAGTGTTTGGAGACTATATGGTATGACTCAGAATCGATCTCAGTGGTGCAAATGTATCCACATGTCATCTTCCTCTTAACCACTATACTGAAATAGATGTTTCCTCATTCTTCCTTCATCTTTTTGCATCGCTTACTAATGCTTTTCATAGACTTTTCTCTCCCTTCTCATCTCATCTTACTGTAATGTCACGTCTACTGCTCTTACTGATTTTTCTCTCTTACTGCTTTGTTACTTCTTGTGCTGATGTGAGGTGTGGCATCTTGGATTGTTGTGCACTAATGCCTGCTCCTATGTTCATATTTAGTACATTACGCGTAGCCTTTTAAAACTGAACACAAGAGAAAAATATCAACAACCATTTACGAGCTGATACATTAGTTTAACCAAAGCTAAGTGATTTATTCACTCAATTCTCAACCTTTGGGTCGTATGTTTGAATACCCTTTTTCTCACTGGGGTTTGGACACGCAGGTAGTATCCCTAGTTCCCGCAAGAGAGTGAAACTGTGGTTGACAATTTTGTATATAGTTTTTATTTCATGCACCAGTCTTTGTGTGGTAGGTGTATCAGAGGTAAAAATGAAATAAGCTTTTAATCTTTTGACTATTTAAGTGGCAAAGAAGAAAGTATCTAAACCACAAGTATTGTAGATCATCCGTACTAAATACAATAGTCTGCGAATAATTAACCTTAATTATTTTCTTTTAAGTTTTGGTAACATCATTAGAAGTGGTTGATTCATAGGGTTGGGTTTTTCTGACTTCTGAAATTACAAGGCTTGATGGTGTTCAGCCTCGTGTTTCATCCGCTGATTATTTCTCAAGATTCCAATGATTTTTATAAATAGTAGTCAAGATATGCTCTTTTGACTAGTTATATTAACTGTTACATTTAACTGTACTATGTATTTTATAGAGATTCATAACTGTAATTCATGAAATCATTCTAACTTTTGTTGGTTTTATCACTTCTTAAGATGTATTGGTTGAATATTTTACAATCTAGGAAAAATTTCACCTTGGACTGGTCGATTCTATTCTTTACTGGATCCAACCTATGCGAAAAATCATATTCCAATTATTGCATCAGTAGCGGAACATCAACCAACTGCATGGAGCTGTTATTATTTCGATCTTCAATTGTTAACAATAATGTTTCCTGGTAAGTCAAATTTCATATGTATTGGCAGTAATAATAATAACCACCTTTTGTTTCTAGTGGGATTATACTATTGCTTCCGCAAATTAACAGATGCCAGCATTTTCGCGATCATATATGGTGTTACTAGCGTATACTTCTCGGTTAGTCAGTTTTTCATTTAATTTTACTTAGTTTTCAAACTGTTAAAACTTCATTTCCATGTATTCAATGTTTTTCTTGATTAACACTAAGCAAAGCTCTGGTTGCTCAAATTTCAATCAGCGAATCACAAGTTTAAAAACTTATTCCATTTTTATTCAATTTTATTGTTAGATTTGATTCGTAGTCTCAGTAAATGAACTTATGCATGCATCCTGAGTTATATTTATTCATAAACATATTCTTTACGATAAAAACAATTTATCTCACCAACCACATACACATTTTTGCAGTAGGTGATGAGCCATGTGTAGATGGATTCGGTTTTGAATCTAAATTCAATAGTAGATAGCTATGTGCACAGAAAAATAAGCCACAGCTGCAGTAAAGTCTCAATCACAATAGTTAGTAGTTGTTATTACTTCGAAGTGTTATTTTTGTAATAACAACCGGCGTATATGTTTTTCGAAGAAACTGAATTGATCTTCCTAAGCACTAAGGGGGTGATGACTGGATATGATCTCACATATTAGTGTTTTTCAAGTTACATAAATGACATTTACATCTGAATATGCTTGTATTGATTTTATTTTTATGAGCTAGTTAACAATCGAGACTCTTTCATCAACCATAGGATAATACATTCATATGCCACCTTTGATTTCTATATTTATAGAAACAATATCTTTAGCGCTTGCAAATCAGATATGACTTTAGACAAGAACAAGTTATTTAGCATATATTCAGCATATATGAGTAACTAAATCTGTCAGTTACTCTTATAATTAGCTAACACAAATCACTTAAGACGTATGTCTCCAACCAACAATTTCTGCGGACTATGACCGGAATGTCTGCATATCTGGTTAATATACTTACAGCCGCATTTGGAATGTACCTTGTTTTCTTAGGTGTGTTGTTCTGGACCTTTGCTTAGGCGTATAACTATAATGGAACAAAGGATACCAATCACTTTGTTCAGACTGATTCCCCTGTAGTTATCACAGAAGGGTTTCTCTCCTTTTTTGAATACTGGCACAATCACTAATTTTGACCAGTCAGAGGGAATCACTTCTGACTCCTGTACGCTAGCCAACACTGTAGTTCATTCAAGCAATAACCCTCGACCATCATCGTTAAATACCTCTAGTACTAGGCCGTCAGGGTTTGCTTTGCTTCCTCGTGTCAATTTACTTATAACGTGAACTTCTGCAAGATTTGGAGGACCTATCTTCATCTTCAAAATGTGACTGAATAGTGAGCGACCGAAGACTGGGAGGAAATCAGTTGCACTTTTTCACCTATCATTGTAGCCGTTTCCGTTGTGAATGAATTATAGACCCATCATTCTCTACTATGCTCTCTCTAATTATTGACCTTTCTGTTGCAGTTTCCTTGATAAGTTTAAATAACTGTCTACTGTTACCTATCCCTGCTGTCTTTTTCATATTTCCAATCTTCACTACTCACCGCTATTTATTACCTGTACATTAGTTTGAGAGATGTATAGGTAGTAAATATAATGATTAGGTCATATGGTTTTGGAGTCGATTAGTGAAACGTTCGATAAATTACTTGATGTTTTCCTAAATAGAAATGACAGCAGATCAATACAGTGCATGATAACTGTTTATTACCATTAGAGTTCTCAGCATGTTAGCTGAGTCTGTGTTTATAGGGAATGTTGGATAATTAAAGTAATTCATTCGAAAGTTTTGTAGTTATCTGTTAGAAAGCTTTTATCCCTAAAAGAATGAACACTTCAACAAACAAATTTATTTGATTATTTTTCTTAAACCCTGAATACATGTTGCCATATTATTATTCACTTGATTAGCATGAAAAGAATTCAGATTTGACTTTCGTTTCAAAAATACCAACCAGTTAATAGGTACATAAATTGTAAAATGTATTCTTTATAACAAAAACGACATTGAATGTGCCACGTAAGACAGTGTAACCAGTATTCTCAAGAAATAAAAGGAGAATATGTATTGATAAATGGTGTCAAAGCGTTCACAGAACCAGTTCGATATGATAAGTTCAAAACCTTTCTAGTGCATTTCGAAAATAGAGCAGGCAGGGGGTCATAATGCAATTATCAGTAGTTCCTACTTTTTTGTTATATTTATCTGAAATCATCGATTTTCGCGGTCGTTTTAATTTCCATTCAGGAAGTCTTGATGTACTAATAAATACTAAGTCAATAAAGTATCCTTTACTTCATAGCACTACTTCGTAAAATAGCCAACCAGTTCCAGATACAACAAAGATTGTGTAGTGTATTATATGCTATGTGTAAAACACCGTCTATAGCAATACTTGTTTGTTGTGTATGTTTCTCTTCTTTCTTTAATTTTCCAGGGTGTTATGGTGCGACTTATCCTTGTACTTGCACCAATTATGTGTATTTTGGGTGCAATTGGAATTTCTGGAATTTTGAAAACATTTTCTGCCAATCTTAATTCACCCGACAGTACTATTACAAAAATGTCAAGCAAACATAATGCTGCTAACGGTTATCCATCAACCGTTAGTACCAGTAGACTGTATAAAAACGCAGTTCAAGATTCAACGTATCCGTTTAAAAATATGGTAAGTGAGCTGTGTTTTTATTCACTTTAATTTCCTATGGGGTGTGCATTCAGTTAAAACCATGTCAGTCGTCCTTTTCAACTAGAATAATACTGTAAAATGCGCTTTACATATTGTATATGGTGATGTCTATTGTCGTGTACGTTGCTTAAATACGTGGAGGTCATTATTCTGAAGGACTACAAAGTTTTATATTAATTTCAACTTTCATTTCAAGTTCGTATTAGAAAACTGCTGCCTATTACCTACTATTTTTAAACTGATCGGTAAAGATGTCTTAGTGTTCACTTCGTCAAACAAAGTTGGCCTGGTGAACCTTTACAAAACAGATGTGACTAGTAGTATATGTTCTCTTCAAATATACCTCTGTAAAAAGGAGTTTCCGATGTTGGAAAACTTAAGGTCACTGGATATGTTTGCCTTCACTATCATCATCATTTCCGCCTTTTAAAACTACTTACTCATGCCTGACTTCTTATTTATCGAGAGCCTTCTCAATCACGGAATTCGCCTTTACTGTAGCAACAAGTGAAATTGTAATTATCTAACTTATGTAAATTAAATTACGTAAAATATTTGGTTTAGTGTTTCCAACTGTTATTATTTGCTCTTCATGATTTTTTTCTTTAGGTTGCTACATTTATGGTTCTACTTTTGTTAATTCTGCTGATACGATTTGGACAACATTGTATATGGGTCACATCATCGTCGTATTCGCATCCTTCTATTGTGTTAGAGACTTCAGATAGTTTTGGGAATCGTCATATTCTAGACGATTATAGAGAGGCATACTACTGGCTTAGACAGAATACGAAACCAGTAAGTTTCCTTAAGTATTTGGTTCTTTTTACCAGTTTATGTGCAAAAGAAGAGACTTGATGTAATTTATCCAACTTAGCTGTGGTTTATCGGTTTAGACGCTCAACTTACAACTAATTGGTTACAAGTTCGAACGCCACTCCACCTACAGAAATCTGAACAACTAAGCAGCACCATTAGTTTTCAATCAAGTGAGTTGTGAGAAATTGAGTTCAAGGTAGTTTCGATCACAGTTTACCATCGGTTCAAAAACCAATGTAAAATAGGAAGCACTGAACATGGTTTTCATCATATTTCAGCTCTCTTCAGGAATGAGTACTCATCAGGTAAACTAAAAATGCTAGTTTGAAACATAGTGTATTGATATTTCCTTTTGATCCAACCATCCTTAGCGTATTTCGAGCCAACTTCAGTTAACAAATAAAGCGTTACAACCTCAGCCGATATACAGTTACTCTAGGACCTAGATTTTTATGACTGACACATTCGGAGATAGGTGCTCTGATTTCTACAGGAATAGATCACCAGTTTAGTCGTTTAATCCGTAATGCTCAGCACTGATAGAAGTTTGTCGACTAAGTTTGGGATTTGGTCAATAAGTTTAGGGGGTATGGGTTCGAACCACTGAGGGAACATCAGCTTTCTTATCGTTTTAGATACACCTTGCTAATAAGTGTCCAAAAGCATGAAACTCAAGTTCAAGACTCTCTATTGATTGACTTCCAACATCTAACTTGAAAACACTGATGTCTTCCAGCAAGGTCAGGCTAAGGCGTCCGTAACATTTGAATAAATGGAGTTAGTGGCTAATTTTTAGAAGGATTACCAGTCGGTCGCATATTAAACCTAGTGTAAATAGGTGGATAAGCATTCCGAATATTCATCATGTAGTTCGAGTTTACTTTTGATCTAGCTATATATGTATGAAGAACTAAGCTAGTTAATTATCATTTTGTTTAGAAATTAATGTAAACAAAGGAATTTTTCGCTGTCAATAAACTTATGAAGGTTATATATGGTAGTTACACTTTGATAAAGTCACTTAGGTGTGAATTCAAATCCTCTATCTCAGTGAATTTTACCAGAAGTAACATTTATAAAGATTTTAGAGTTTCATAGTGAGTATAAATGTGTTATCTGAAGTGAAGCTATTTAAAATACTCTTTTTCAGTTATTAGACAACTGGTATCTTTATAGTATTGTTTCGGTTTGGTGGGATTGTTGAACGAGAACGATATGATTTGACTTTATATCCCAGTAGGTTATAAATATTCGCCTTCTGAGATTGTTCCGATTCATGTCGTATATAACTAGTTCATAGCTTATTTTGAAAAATCTAAGAGTGTGAATCAACAAATCTTGAGTTTTTTCGAACTAAAATATCAATGGATTTTTGTTAGAAGCCTGTTTAACCCCTTGAAGTACCAAACATTTTCCTCTGAATATTCTACATCAAATTCTGACCTTTAAAATATTTCTTCTGATCGTATTATTTACTCACGGGCCCATTCGAAATGTTTTCAGCCAGCAGTTTTTCAAATTGACAATGTCACTGTAGATAACAATGAACTTTTAAGCTCACAACCACTACATATTACTAGTCTTGAAATAGTGATTTCAAATTGCAGATTTTCATACTGGCTGAATGAATCACCATCATTAAATGTACACACTGTCATTTATTCATTCATTACCCCTTCCAAACCAAACAACCTAACAACAGTTGATTGTTTCATATTATTGCCTGTAATCCTGTTATTATAAACATAACTGAGATGCTGTAGTAATTCCGTTTAGAAGTATTATACAGAGTGTAATTACACATTGGAATAAAGTGGTTATTATTATTGCTACATTATTTTAGTTAGTTGTATACGATAGTTGGAGTCCTGAGCAGTGAGTGGCTAACGATATGTGACAGTGGGTTAGATAGATTTACTGCTGTTCACAAGATTGAGCTTCAAATTATTCCCTGACTATACAAATACTTTCCTGAATTTTCTTTCTCCTTACTTTTAAGTATAAACAACTGAGCTAAGTTCATCATTTTATTAGGTTTCTTGCTATTTCCTTCCTATCGAAAATATTATGTTTACCTCTCTGTTGATTACTTCTCTATGTAGGATGCTAAAATTATGTCTTGGTGGGATTACGGCTATCAGATTACCGCTATCGCTAATCGTACTGTTCTTGTGGACAACAATACTTGGAATAATACTCACATTGGTCGTGTAGGTCAAGCAATGGCATCATCTGAAGAAGAAGCTTATGAAATTATGAAAGAATTGGATGTTGACTATGTACTTGTCATTTTTGGTGGAGTATTAGGTTACAGTTCTGATGGTAAGTGTCTGTATGATTTTTTAAAAGCCGTTTTAAATACCTCACCTGGAGTATTAGTGAATAATGCACAACTCAGTGGTCCTGACGAAGTTTTCTGCAGTGGTTTGACTATCAACTCCACTTATGAATGAATTATAATTAACCATCTAGTTCGAAGTAGATAGAATAGATTAACTGTCTGTTAGTGAATGATTACATTGTAATCGAAATTGAAGGATAAGTGTGTTGGCAATACGATATCAGACCCAACCTTCAAGCAAGAGTTTCAAAATTTAAGTATAAATATAGGTACGATGACAAAAATATTGACGTAATGAAGGTGCAGAAAGGGTATACAACTGTCAAATAATAATAAAATTTTACAGATTAAAACTTCACTTCAGTTAGTACTGTAGAATAAGTTGAAGATCTCTAAATTAATAACAATCAGTGGATGAAAAAAAGAAAAATAGTAAACGTCAGAATTAGAGATTTAGTAGAAAAACTGTTTAAAAAATGAGAATAAATTTAACGATTTCAGACTATCCTTTGCTTCTCATCAAAAGAGTATCATACTTTTGGATATTAGAGAAGACTGTCAGCTCAGGATGGAGATAATTGTTTGGTGCTTGCTGTACTTGGAAGATTTCATCACCAAGAAGTCCTTTGAAGGCTAATAACTGATTGGGCCTCACTAGGTGGTGTGGGATTTGAAGTCTTAACTCACTGGTGGAAAGTTCACTCTCTATATATTAAACCTACCGAAAACACTTCACTCCTTGTAAGCGTTTAGAGTCTGGTGTTACTCCCGTTATTATTATATTCTAGAGGTGAAAGTTGTGTTAACAACACCATACACGGAAGTCGAATTGGCCAATTTCTTCCTATTATGTTTAGAAAACGATTGTGAAATAATAACAAGTCGTCATATTTTCTAAATAAAAAAGGACACTTAACCGCAAATTAACCGACATGATAAACTTAACTTGTGAAGTAAATATAGAGTGCTGAATTGTGCAATGAAGAATATCCTTCAGGAAATTCTTTCGTCATTTTTTAGATAGTCGAAAACCAGTCCTACAAAAGTAAGCATGGCAGGCATATCAATGCGTTAAATTCTACCTTGTAACAGGAATATTCATTCTATGCCTGACAGATTCACATCCTTCATGGCTCCATTAAAACTGAAAGGCAACACAATGATGTTATTAAGTCTTTGAGATTAATAGTTAAATAGCTTCATCTGAATGAATTCTCGAACCTTAAGAGTCCAACTTAACTGAATATTGGTGCAAAATAACTTCTCCCTAGGGTTTTTTGGCTAGAACATCATTAATTTTGTAGCAACTGAAATATTTTTCATGATCTACTAAAATTGTAGTGCAAAAATGGCTGCAGTGTATGATGAAACGTTTTGTTGTTGTGGTTCTTAAAAGCCCAAAGACATGTTCAGTCCTTTGAAGAACCACTTTTTATTTACATATATAACAGTTATATCATTATGAACTATTATCTATTAACTCACTGTGCAGTATAAACTACTTAACCTACAACCTCTTGGTGTAGTGGTTTCAAATTCCAATCCATTAAATGAGGTATACACGGTCAGACGGTATCACTTTGTGCTGCCAAACAGGTGTGATCCGCACTCGAGTATACAACGTCACTAGGTTACATAATTTTAAGATTCATGGTGTATATATGTAGCTGATGAACGTGAAACTAGCTGTTTTTCAACCCTTTAATTTTTTCCTTCAAGAATTTCATTTCCTTAGTCATAAATCATATTAAGTTCTTTCCATTATATGTTGATGAGTCTAAATGAATTGGATTCATTGCTTATAACTAGCTTAGGTTTCCTAATCGGAGAAAAATGTTTATTTCGCAGGAGGTGACCTGGTGTTCTTTTGTTTAGTAATTCAGAGCCTATAATTGTGGCAAAGCATTCTGTCTGGCTTACTACAACGTGCAAATGTATTCACAATATAATGAAAAAAACATTTACATATCACGTGAAGTAATGGAATGAAACGTTTATCGTTTGTCAATTTCTCTCAGCTATTGTGTGTTATCTGAAATTATTAAACAGACGTTTAGTCATAAGACCATGTAAAATAACCTTGGTTTAACAAACTAGTGGTGAGGGATGGTGATGGCTGTATTTGATGAAGAACCTAACCACCGGTCCGAGTCTGAACACAAATCAAATTTCCTTATAATATATTTTCCAATGTCTTTTTATTCATTCACATAAAAATTAAAATATATCACTAAGTTAACCTTCTTTTACACTTATAATAGATGTGAATAAGTTTATCTGGATGGTTCGAATAGCTGGTAGTACAGAGAAAGGACGTCATGTAAATGAACGTGACTACTATACACCACAGGGAGAAATGCGTGTAGATACTGAAGCTACTTCAACAATGAAGAACTGTTTACTGTATAAGCTAAGTTATTATCGTTTTTGGGAAATGAAAACTGCTAGAGGTAAGTGTTTGTAAATGAATTGAGCATAATGTAGAATATTTGTAGTTCATGAGGATAATTTTGATGGTGTTGTGTTCTCTGAGTTGGATGGTTTAATCCAAAAGCTTCCATTACCAATCTTGACAACGTCAATCAGCACAACCTTCAACTTGTTCAAACAATGTCTGACCGAATTCGAGGAACTTCTACGGAAAGAGCTAAATTACGATACAGGAGACGCTTCGGGACCAGAATTCTGCTCATCCCTTTAGTCATCACTGAAGACTTCAGGACTAAACTCTGAAACCCAACTGGAAATACGGCCAGTGTTCATGTCTCTGACCAGGCGAAGGTAAAACCGTACTCATCTAACTAGTAAAGAACAGACAGCTCTTTAAAAAAATGTATAATAGAAAGGACGTCGTTATAATCTCAGTTGAACAAGGGTGCACCACAGTAGTCATGAATAAAGACGACTACATCAAAAAGGCGGAAGACTTACTCATGGACCGTAATGTATATCAAGCAACTGAAATAAATCCGATTCAAAAGTTTAACTTCCACGTCGCCAAGACCTTGAACAAACTCATCAAAGGGGACAAATTACAAAACAAGACCAATTGAGAGTGAAATCCAATAGACCTGTTATCTTGAGTTTCTATGATAGACCAAAAATATGCGAATCGAACGTCCCACTATAACCAGAGTTTCACTTCCAGGAACCACTAGCATACAATCTTTCAAAAGAACTGCAGAAAACTGCAACATCTAGTAGAATCATACGACCACTCGATCAACACTTTGACACAATTTTCGAAAACTATGAAGCATATTCATATTGACAGCGACAAATAGATGGTGTCTCTCGACGTCGCAGCTCTATACACCTCAAGTGAGCCGAAGCCGGTTAAGGATACAATGTCTATTCTCCACACCAACGGTGACACACCTCTCGGAACACACACGATTGCAGTGTCCAAGTTTTGTGAAAGTTATTGATCTATGCGTTACAGCATGTTGTCAGTTGAATGGGAAACTATACAAACCGTCACAAGGAACACCAATGAAATTATTTACATCAGGGTCAGATGCAGAAGCAGCAATGGGAAAACTGGGAACTGTGGTGTTGCCGTTGATGAGACCGAAATTTCGGGTACGATATGTAGATGATACGTTTGTGATCATTAAAATAAACGAGTTGGGAATCGCCTACAAATTAATCAGCAACATTTCCGATGACATCAAATTCACAGTTGAAGAGGAGTCAAATCACAAACTTGCATTTTCGAATGTCCTGGTCACTAGAGAGGGTTCGGAAAAATGGGAAACTGAAGTATACAGAGAGCCAAGTCACACAAATCAAATTCTCCTTGTTGTCACTGAGTTGGGGTATGATATGGGTTCTAATAATCCGCAAATGAAATAATTATGAAACGAGATACTTGGACTGCATACGAGTAATGCGATTGTTCTCCTCCACACTGAGGCGCGATAATCAGAAGACTGCAGGAGCACCAACAACTTTGCTGGACAAATATTTATGGTGCATATATATGTATATAAATTCAGGAAATGAAGCCACAAATAAACCAATCCGATTGGTTGTGTGACGTCGAATTTGTCCAATTACCTTATGATATCACATGCGCATGACCAGAAAATAATTTCTCTATTGGCTGCCTTTTTGTCGCTACTTATCACTCATCTTCATTCAATAGCAATAACCGAACGGCACACAAAACCACTTGTATGTAGACACTATGAGAATATATTTTGGTATAATCTCAGCGTGTTTAGAAAATCAAAACAAGATATTTCTGAACGTTTCGCTGTGTAACCAACAGCTTCCTCAGAAGAATGTACGGATTTCATTAACGCCAGTATATGTAGTCAAATGATACATCAAATATTTAGTGGACCTATGTCATTGGTTGGATGATTAGTCATTACAACTTCATTCTTGATTTTCTAAGCACGCTGGGTTTATATTAAAATATATCCTTATTATGATTCAACCAGATTCCGCGCCCCACTTTCTCCAGGACATTCGTAAACACTATAGTCTGAATGTTTATAATCGTATACGAACACTGTTCAAACGAACGAGGACAGACTGTAGCACACCAACCTTCTGGAGAAATGAGGAAATCTACTTAATGACTGTTTTCCAGGAGAACGAATGTCCATGCAACTTCATCAAAAGATGTTTACATAACTCGTCATTAACTAAGAAGTCAGCCTCGCAAACCAACAAACAGATTGTCTCACCCTACATGAAGAATGTCTTCGAGATCATGACTAGATTGTTGAAGCTGTTTAAAGTCGCTGTAGCTCACAAGACCGCTTCACTTTGTGTTGTGCAGGCCAGAAGATGCGATGCTGAAGGAAGACAAATCAAACATTATCTACAAAATGAAATGCAGAAACCACGCAAGGCACCGTATCGGACAGAGTGGTCGCCCTCTTCCTATCCATCTACATGAACACCAACTAGCAGTGAAGCAACGTGATATGTCTTCGCTCATGTCAGCGCATACGGACAACTAACGATGTGAATTTGACGGGGAAAGTGTGTAAGTCCTGGACGGAGGAAATAAAGAGAATGCGAGAGAATCTCGGAAGGCTTCGAGTTCAGATCAGTCAGCGATCAACAGGCATATTGACATTGACCCAGTCTATCAACTAATAGGAAGCGATGAAACGGTCATAGTTTTTGGCAACAGAACAAGCGATCGAAATAAACATGGAGAAGATGAGAACACTACGGCAGAAACAATCAGTCACACAGGGTCATCAGGACAATCTACTGAGCCATTTGTGGAGGGAGGCCCACGGTTCACTTTTGTCTGAATGCTGAGGCTATGAGCTTTTTTTGTATGAGCATGAAAACTTCAGGATCAATAGATTCAACCGGCAGAACACGATCCGATCAAGTTTTTCTTGCTAGTTTATAAACATTTTCCACATTCCTGAGGTTCATCAAGCCACGCCCAATCTGGGGATCATCTTAATGCAGTTCATTTCATGGTGGAGAAAACCCCATGGCTCACTTCTTTCAGAAGTTTGTGGTTATGATGTTGTCTACGATGACAATGAAACCTCCGTGATTAAACCATCCAACCCAGAGGACACAATTCCATCAGAGTTGAGCATAACTCTATTTCGAACTGTTTTACGCTCTGTGCATCTTTGTCAGGTCACTATATTTAACCTCAACCGAATGCGGCAATGTATAAGGGAGTCTAAAGTTGAAGACGGACTAAGAAATGAATGAGTATTGTCAAATTAAGATGTTACATTGAATACTTTCAGAGTGTAAGCTTCCAAGTGAAGGGTTTTGGAGCGTTCGCAATCGGTTGTGAAAGATATTCAGCTAAATAACATGGCTAGGTGAGACGTTTCAGCTGCACCTTCGATCTGTTTAAGTCGTCCTATGTTGACTCATCTCATTTTTATGAATGATATAAGTAGTCTTCTCTGAGGTATTGAGCAGTGCTAAGGACGTAGAACATTTAATAGAAGGATGTCAAGTTGTAGCACTTCACAACAGCGCAGAATATTATCAAAACGGGAAAGAAATACCAGGTGACTGATGAATCTGCATGGTTGGGGAGAAAAAACAACTGAGGCTGGTAATGTGAAAAGAGCTAACTACTGAACTTTAGCTGATACTACTGAAATTAGTGAGTGGTGATTTCTTACGGTTATACATGGCTAAAATGCAGCTGAACATCGTGGGAAGCACCTTGAACGACTCCTAGCATTGTCTCGACAGTTGGTGTAATTACTATCAACCCACTAATTACAGCACCACCTGGTTTAAACTTCATATTTCTTCACTTGTCTCATTAGTGTTGCACCTGGCATGTACTAGATTCAGTTTGTGGCGGAAAATACAGAGATAGGTTTTGCTCCGATGGTATTGTTTGTAGTGACAGTGTAAGCTTCATGACTAAGTTATCCAGTCCGTATAAGAAAACACTGTTAGAATTGTCTTGGTGAATCACAAATATTTTTCACTATTTTAAAATACTAGAAGACATTCTAATGGCCAGGTAAAGTGTGTAATCATCAAAAAGCTTCAGAGCAGGTTAGCATGGATAAATGGCTGGAATAACTGTCTGCTGACCTTGTCATTATCTTATAAAGTGTTTCTTTACACATAGTCAGTCACTGAATATCAAAATGGGACTTATTATTACTGCATAACAGTTCATGTTGCCACACCTCACTTTGGCACATTAAGGTGGATGGTACGAAAATGAGAAATAAAGAAATCAGGAATAAAGCCAGTCTTTAAACAAAATCAAGAATCAGTGAGACTTGGCATGACGATTAAAATAAAATGTGGCTACATCTGCGCCACTGAGCGAGCTGTAGTACCTAGAACTGGCATCCACCGGTTTCACTTATCAAGCGGACCCCGACTTGGAAGTCTGCTTTTCGTTACAAGACGCAGAACAAAAGTTGGAAACCTCATCGACTGGTGGCAAATCTTAGCTTGGCTGCCTCTATCCATTTTCCAGTATAAATCTACTTCAGTTAATGTTGAGTGACGTGGCATACGTCGGTCATTTCGCATCAATTTAAGTTAATGTCTACAACATCCCCAACTAAATTCCCCCTTCTTTTTGAGACTTTACTTCTGATTTCTACGTTGCTGATGTGATGTTGCCACGACCTATGTTACGAATGCGACGGTGGTCAAACACTTAAAGCGTTCTCATATCATCTACTTTTAGTGACCATATTCCACACTCATAGACAATAGACCGATAAAGTCTGAGTCGGCGAAAGCCGATCGAGCCTTTTGTATCAATGCCGAGATTCCTTCACTCACTGACCCACCATGGCCGATCCAACTACCCAGGTGTGTAGAGTGGTGGTCAATGCGCTCAACTACTTCACCCTCCACTGTTAGACAGGCCACGACTGAAGATCAGTTCTGGGGCATTAATTTGCATTTGGGTGGTCAGAAACATGTCCCAGACATTCTCAAATTGTTACTTAATGTGTTCAGAAGGTTGCATCCTTCAGCAAAATAAGAGTAAGACTTGAGCACAGTGGTAGAATGTAATTTCACTTTTTTATTGACTTACTCGATGTATCACACAGCGGAATAGTATTACTTACTGTATTACGTTTCGGATGTATAGAAAATCCTACTACCTATATCAAAAAGGAGACGAGAACTATATAAACCATGCCTCAAAGTTGTGAAGTCATCTTGATATCAGACGATAAGAAATTAGCATTCCATATTTTAAGTCGAATATGAACGAAGAATATTTTCAATAACTTCTCGTCAGATTCTACGATTATGGAATCAATTTGGTTGACACACCATTGATCGCCAAAATTTGGGGGAAATGCATTTTAGAGTGGGAACGGGGTTGTAACTAAAATCTGATTCCTAATCTTCAAGTTTATGTCAAGGACACTATATTGTTTCTTATCTGAGTACTGACTGGCAGCGGTAACATATGCATTTCTGCTTTTATGTGGTAAACTCCATCAGTATCTTCCCGCTAAAAATATCATCGGATTTCGTCTCTATTTCTTTATGCTCGATGAACCTGGACTAGAGACATAATTCATCCGTTTTATACGGAAGATTCAGTATGAGAGATGTGGGTTAGAAAAGTATGAAGTTAGGGAAAGGTTATTGAAAATGTTTGTGATTTACTACAACTGCTTAGTCTTTGGCCGCTAGTCTGAACCGTTTAGGGCAGTGTAGACTTCTAGGTTGGTTTCCGCATGGTAACAGGAACTCTTGGTTGGAGAATCGATCGCGCAAGTTTACCCAGACACCAACCTCATCTTAATCTTCCTAATAAATTTCTGTATTCTTCGAACCTTCTTTACCCTCTTTCAACCCCTTTTGATTGTTTGCTTTATCTTCCAACCTTACTGCATTCTCATGTGATGTGCTAATATGAAGTTTGACAACTTGAGGCGTTACGCTGCAATACCAGGTCCCACGTTGAGTGTATGCCTGTCTGAAATCGAAAGCCACTAGTATGCGCTACAATCTCTTAATGTAATCATCATCATTTCTCTACTGTCCGACTATCGTTGAATTGTTTTTCATTTACTTGAATTAGATCAACCAATGGGATTTGATCGAGTGCGTGGACAAGTCATTGGACATCGAAACTTTGAGCTACAAGGTTTAGAAGAGGCATTCACTTCAGCGAACTGGCTTGTACGAATATACCGAGTCAAACCATATGCCAACCGAGGGATGCATTAAATTTTGTAGCTTATTATTTTTTTGTTTATGAAAATAAATATGTACGTTTATAGACAATTTGGTTTTTTCCATACTTCACCCGTAGATACAAAATTTATTTTATCCTTCAGTATTTTTACAACCGAAGGATGCGACTCCCAATTAGAACAATTTGCTGACCTTGCTATTCAGTGCATATACACATTTGACTTTAAAAAGTGAACAACAAGCGAATATGGTATGAGGGTAGAACAAAGTGTTAAGCTGAGATATGAAGTAACGTCAATAGACGATAAGAATGTCAGAGGGATATAAATCTTAGTGTGTAACAAGATGAATACTAACAGAAACACTCCTGCCATTATAGATGAACAAAATTTATCCATGGTCTAAGATTATCAACATTTTTACAAAGAAAACGCAGGTAGAACAAACTGCCATAGACAAGGTTCAAATTACTGGTTTTAGGTGTCAATAAAAAAGAAAGATGAGGCTATTGTGGTCGAGCTTTGATCAATTTTCGTCTCCTAAATTCCTTTTGTGTGTTCTGATCTGTTTCTGTTTGGTCGCTAGTGTCTTCATCCTCGCGTTTTACTGAAATTAAAAATAAACATCGAATTAGAAGACGAAGCATCCTGTTAAAATATGAATACTGGGACGTGGCACTGTATCTAGAACTTATGGTACGAACGGAGTAAGCTTTTCAAGATTGACCCAGTTTTCTACAGGAAATTCACACATATCAAGGTCTAGTTTCTTAAACAGGAAGCTAAATTAATTTCGTTCGTCTTGGCACATATATATGACAGTTCCCTCAGATCCTTATAGCAAGAAAAAGAGACAACACTGGTACGTCATTGTTACGACACGATGAGATATCCGACGTTGACATTTATGGAATAACTAGGCGTTTCAGATTGAAACAACACAATTCTTGAGACGCGTTCCGAAGAGACCTGTATTTGATTCATATCTTGTAATGCAAGCATAAATAGCTTCTAATTTCAGCAGTCATGCCTCACAGCCTCATAACAGGAAACAGGGAAATACAGCGCACTACACTTCTTTAGCAGGTCATCGCGTAGGTAGCCGGTACCAGAGATGACGCGAGTTGGCAGATGCCAAACTCGCCTCCTGTATCCGAGCTGAGATTTCGTCAACAACAAGCTTGTTCAGGATTATGCAACTCCCAAGTAAGTAAAATGATGGATGCTTTCCACCACTTCATTGCCTATCCTTAGATTGAGATTTGTTGTAGACCAGCCCTGGAGGATTATCTTACATATAGTTAAATTTATTATCATTGGAACACAAACGTAGTACAACAGGGGCTTCAAAAACTACGCCACACAAAGTAACACGGCAACTTTTAAGGCACAAAGCGAAGGAAAGTGGATAAGAAGAAAGGCACAATGAGAATAAGATGATTGGAAAGGTAGTCCAGTAAGATACATTCATCACTTTTCAGCAGCAGAGGATAGAAGGAAGCTATAGAATGACCGCTACTGGCTCCGATTCTGAGCCATATCGGATGACGTATCAAACCGAGTTGCGTGATCTCTCGGACCCCACCTGGGGAGTCGTAATGCATCAACAAATGCTAACCCGATGCAGATATACTTCATCTCAAGGTGCCCATCTATTACGCTGACATGCGTAACAGATGCTCAAGTCACCGAAACCGGTGTTTCTACATGGTTTTACTTATTGAATGACGATCTCCATCATACCCAAACACACGCTGTCGTACTTCAAAATTACTTACACGGTGCTGCCACCTGGTACGAGCAGTCCGATGGAGACAACGATGATCGAACAGAGTTATCGCACGTCCTCAGCTCGGAAGCCACGTTTCACAGGCGTAGAGCAGAACTGCTTGCACCGAAGCGTCGTAAACCTGATCCTTTTACGGTCAGACCAGCGGCGCCGAAGGTGATCCAGATTGGTGTATACTACTCTGGCTTTCGATATGCGGTTAGAAATTTCATCACAAACAACTAGCCAAATACGCGAACTTTTCGACTACATTCAACAGCTCACCACCGAGGGCAAGCACAGGCTCCTGCAAATCTTGAGAAAGTACTTTGCAATTCGATGCTGCAAAGCACATACCATACTTACGGACACTTAACACGTGAGAAACGCATGCCAAACATACTCAGATTTCTGCTCAACGACTTCAGAAGACCCCGCATTTTGTTAACATCTTCACCTAGCAGGATAATGTCATCTCCAGGTCAACTAAATGCTCTTCAGGGAGTAGATCACAGGTATCCAGGGTTACGTCTAGTAGCTCATCTGTAACAAAACCAAATAGTAGCAGTGACAGCGGGCATCCCTGGTGTACATTACTAGTTTTCGTCATCTCACATGACAACTCTCCACAAGCCTCTTACACGGCTGCCTGAGTTCGAGTGCAGAACTTTGATTAGTGCTACATACTTGCCCGATACTCAGACACTCACGACACCTCTACATCAACACAGTCAATCATAGCTTTCAGGTTGAGAAATATGGCACGTTTCGATCGCCTGTCTTCCAGAACCTTTCGAAGGGTGATTACCTGATCTAGACTGGGTGATGACTGAGGGTGAAGTGAAAATTCAGACCGCGGTCGGATTCCAACCAGCAACCACCGAGTTTCCGGCCGGATGCTCTACCAACTGAGCTACGAGGTCCCACTGCTGACCACATTTTTATTTCACTTCAATCACCAGGAATTTTGCCCGACTGCCATGTGAATTCGTGACGCGTGACTATCGCTGCCCAGTCAGGGCTTCTCATCCCAATCCAAATCTAACTGAACTGAAATAAAAATCTGGTCAGGAGTCAGACCCGTAGCTCAGTTGGTAAAGCATCGGGCCAGAAAGCCGGTGGTCGCTGGTTCAAATCCAGCCGCAGTCCAAATTTTCACTCTACCTTCAGTCATCACCCAGCATAAATACTAGTCTGCTAGACTACGGGTATCTCGGATAGTCAAGTGGTGATTATCTGATCGATGCACCTCTCATCCAAGTTTGTTGTTCTCGAGCTCCAGTTAGGCGTCAGATAACTATAGAACCCAGAGTCTTGGACACAGCATAAGTCAAAATGATTCCTCTATGTTTGTCACAAGGCTTCTTCCCTTTCTTATAGACCGGAACGATCCGTAAAGTAGACCAGTTTGACGGGACTACACTACTGAGTACTTTCGCTACCTTGACCAGTAATTTCTCACCTCGATCCTCGAAAACTTCAAGTGGCAGACTATGAGGTCCCACTGCATTGCATCTTTGCAGGTCCCAAATAGTCTTCCCAACTTTGAGGAGAGTTGCACGACTAAAATTAACGTATATTTAGGTTCGGGATGAATACCGGGGAACTGAAAAGTGGCTGTACACCAAGTAAACTGTCCTTTAAAATGTTTCGCTTAAGGTTTTAGCTCTCTGCCCGAAGAGTTTTCACCAATCATCACCTTTTTCCTATAAGTTTTCTTATACGCATAAATAACTGCCGAGTACTGCCTAATCCTGATGCCTTCTCCATCGCTTTCTCTACCCATTAGCGTTCGCAACTATTGGTTATTTCCTGGCAATCACGGCACTCTTAAATACAAAGATCATCTGAGTATCGGATAAACAGAGACGGGATTGTCATATTTGACTGTGATTGCCAATAACTACGTGATGCAGCAAAGAAATATCAGTCTTAATAAACGGAAGTGGTCACAGTGAGATCCAATTGGTATTTGCATGATAAAATAGCGATGAACTGAAACAATACACCATTACCCGTCACAGGCTGTTCTGTCCTTTTGAATTTTGAGTTCTAAGACGACTGGACTATAATTTACCTCCAACTTAATATTCGAATAATAACTTATGTGTGGTTCTTTCCTTGCACATTTCACCAACCTATTAGCACCAAGTTCGTGGCAGCTCCTACTCATTTCCAACCAACTAAAGGTGTCAATGAAGAAGTAATAGAAATAGTTATGTTGCTACAAGTAAACACTGCTATAAGTCGTGACTCATGGGCCTGGATACTCGATTTCCTACCGATGGATCACGGGTTTGAACCTCACTTTATGTACCAAGGTCTGCGCAGTCAGGTAGTATTATTAGCCCTCACATATGGTTAATTGCATACTGCATGAACGTGTACATGATTTCTGAGATTTCATTTCGACTGCAATGAACCTAGCACTAGTCAAAGTAAGACATCAGATTTTACACTTTTACTAGGATTAGGACCCTTATTGCGGATATTTGGAGGTATTTGATAGAAAGCTGTGGGTTTCATAACTACTGAGATTCGTCAACCATATTCATAAAGTTGACAGTATATGTGTACACTCCGATGAATGTGAATACAAGGGACACTAATGCCACCACATCAAATGAAAAAGCATGTAGTACTCTGCATCACCAAAATAAAAATATGACTATACCTTTCTTCTTATCCTTTTTCTTCTGTGCAGAATCTTGACTAGTGAAAAACCAGCTCTTGGAGCTATTTGATTGTTGCTTGTCTCTACGATGTCTTTGGTGGAATGTTATGAAATTCCAAACCATCAAAGCTTGTGCAATGAAGAAAAATAGCATTGCAGCAGTTCTGTAACAGAAATAAGTTTGTGTGCATATTTTATCTGGTGCAATATATTCTTAAAGATTAGAGATTCATCCTAAAAATAACATGACAGTTTCCGTTGCTAAAAAATATCTAGAAAGCACTTAGCAAATACCTCATCTTACTTAGGAAATCCTTTGATGCATAATTCGCCAGTGAAACGAAATACTCATATCACCGTGGTTTACAATTCTGTCTTGATAATTGGTATACGAAGGAAAAAGAAATCAACAGTATTCGAGCAACTGTTTGACACTTCTCTGAGAACCCTTCATGTCGTATAAAATGCGAACTACCCTCTGAGTATATGTAAGTACAGATAGTTGGTGCAAAGGCGGATATTTCACAGCTGTCATCGGCTGCTTTTAATGAGAGAACTAGGGTAGGCTAATTACTATTTTAAGTAATCCATAGTTTAGCTCTAGATTCAACAGGACATCACAAAATCATTGACATGAGTCATCTTCTGAGGGAGGAAAATTTTGTTATTTAAGATTGCTGTTCGACATAGATTGTTTTCAACCACATTAAGGTAACCAAATATCTCAAACGGATATTCACAAGAAAACTGAGTACCCTCCTGAACACCCCCATAATAGTATCGGGACTTACTGAAAATTCCAAATAGCGCCGTCTAGAGATGTTTATTGTTGTGATTTAGTCATAGGTTTTCTCCTTAATTCAACAATTAAGTAAATTAAAGATGTAACTACTCGACCAGTCCTAAGTTAACACCTTAAACTGTGAGATGCACCTATAATGCCGTATGTAACGATACTCCAGGTTTTCTTTAAACTGTATGGTGATTCAACAAACATTAGGTTGTAAATAGATATGTAACGTTATTATATCACAAACCAAGATTTGATATGAGATTAAGAAGTTACCAACTCTTAGTTTCATCCACATGTTGGAGCTAGGGTTGTCAGATCAGATTTGTCTGCTTAAGCATTCGACTTACAAACAAAGTCCGAGGTTTGAATCCTGCTTTACTTACTTGACCTATGCAACCATGTAGCATAATAAGCTCTCACACAACGAATGTGGCTTATAGTCCGGTAAATAAACATAAACCAAGCTGAGTTACACAATAAGAATATTATAAGGGTGACCGGGATAGCAGTCATTCGAAAGTTACGAATCAACAACCGGACAGATTAACTTACATGGCTTCAGCCAACCACGCATTATCACACATTCATTTACCTATTCTTTCTCAAAGTCTACAACATCTAAATGTTTTGGTCGATTATTTTTAGTTGGATCATTTTCTTCTCTTTACACAGCTATAGACTTATCCGTTAATGTGAAGTATGACAACCTGAAATGATGCACTTGATGTTAAGTGAGTCTTTACAGCTTTCGGAAAAAAATTGTTAAGCCGATTTCCAAATCCAAACCCATCACAGAGTCGCCATTTACTTTGACTAGTTAAAGGGAAGCAGAAGAGTACTTTGGTAGTTGAAGAACCCTGCAATTGATAATCGTTAAGAAATCCTAGTACGTATCTGAGAGACTCAATAGGCGCAAATCAACTAACCGAAAATTTTAGCTGGTGCATATTAACAAAAAGCAATGAAATTTACCAGAACGGATTGATACTACTGTTGGTACTACTTAAACTGGAGTTCAAATTCTTCACCCACTGGTTGGAAATCGAACGCTTAGATTACTGAAAAACAGTTTCACAACATACTTGGCAACTTTGTTCAGATTAGTAAACATAATATGAAAAACAATTGCGGCATTTAAGGTGCTATTCCTGGAATTGTATAAGTGATTTGAACTACCAAAAGCCACTAGTGGAGGTTCAGGCACAAGTAATAACAGTTGTCAAATTGCTTTTAGGGATGAAGAGCTAATAGCGATCGCTCGAAATCGTATACATGCTCCAGAAGATATGGAATACAGTACAACTACTTTAATTTCCTTCAAGGCGGTTGGTACATCATTCTTGGAAAACGACTCACCATTAACAATATTCTGGAATGAATGACACAGAATACCAGCAAAATTGCTAACTAGAATGCATGGTATACTATCTGGTCCTAAGATAATACGAAGGTTTTAATGACTTAAGGCATTTGAACATCCATTCTGTTGAATTTGAGAAAACTGCCTGTCATGCTTGAAGGAATAATTAGGATGAAGTTGACAGGCTTACTCATAAATTACTAGTTTGGTGTACGTAAGTTTTGGGAGGCTTCATTAATGAATTTTCTTCTACCAGAGATCTTCAAACGGTCTCCACATACTAGAAGGGTTTTTACACTATGTAATATTTTCAGCACACGTTTGGTAAGGATGCTAATTTATCTAACATGAATTTTATGTAGATTTTCGTTTTCTCTTCATAGCTTCTTCACCCAAGAAGAAAGTGTATCAAGCCTTAAAAAGATTATTTAAGCTGGGCAATAAATATCGAGGAAGAATGGCAGATAACATTTTACTGCATTGGCAATGTCAACTAACACATCATTTACAAATATATTGCGGTCTGTATTGAGTAATATATTTCTGACTTTGGGTATGTTTACGTGTGCTTAGCTATCGCAATAGTCCTTCGATTGGTATGAAAAAGTACTTTTGTGTAACTCATCACATACTTTCGGCAGATAACGTATGAAACTGGACTGAATTCAGTTGTACAGCTCGCTTTCTATTGTCATGTATACAAGGGGTTCATGAACAGAGATCACATCCGATTTAGCATGCATGTAAGTTGTAAAGTTGCCTACATATTTGTGACCAAGAGAACTCACAGTCACACGAGCAAAAATCACTAAACATTAGACAGTTGAACCACATTGACAGCCACGAATGTGGGAGAATCTAGAATCAAAACAGTTGCGACCAAATCACGCGAACGTTTGTGATGTAAATGATACTATTGTTATTGAATTTGTTGAGATGGCACTTCATAGTTAATATTATCATTCGAAAAAGAGAAACAAATGTAACTCGATAAGCACCACTGCATGTTGACAAGGTTAGCCAAACTTTCAACACACTTGTTTGCAGAACCGTCTACCTTGGCTAGAAAAGAAACCAACGAAGGAATGAGCTAGCAGGCATCATCTGAAGTCGGTCCTGATATGCTGACTACCAAAACTGCAAAAGTATGACTCATACTTATGACCCACATTTTCTCTTTTTTCGCTATATATATTGTTCTTATCTTTCATTAGTATTGTCCCGTAAATGAACCGTCCAGCTGATCAGTTAGGAAATCGGTTTACGAAACAAACTTCCTTCGTTTGTGATCACAGTAAGAAAGACAGAAAAGAGTCCGATGAAGACAAATCTCCGTTCAGCGTACTTCGCAAGAATACGAAAATGAAAACGTACGAAATCAGAAGTACATGGGAGAACAATATAATGTGTATAGGTATGGACACTGTAACGTGTTATGTACTGGTGCATATACTCTGAAACATGATCCAACCTTGCCAAACACTGAGACTGGATTTGCTTAAGACTCATAATAGAAAGTTTACAAGGTTTCCAAACGCATTGAAGTCAAACTATACATTAAGTTTTAAGAAGTGCGATACATTTAACCAGTTCTTATGAAGACTTCTAGCTCGTAACTGAAGGTAATACAAGCCAACCAGTATCACTAAACAGGGAATCCTGAGTATCAAAGGTCATCAAGTAGTTCAAGTGAAATTCTCATAGGAATTTTACTTTTAACATATCATAAGTGGAACTGATAGGTAGAAATACACTTACCTTATGGAAGGAGTATTGAAGTTCCCTTCAGCAACATTGACGATTGTGACAGAGCTTTTCCCTAAACCATGGCTGTATATTGAAATTACCGTAGTTTACGGACTTACTGCAAAGTTAGAAATCCCAGGATGACGCAGGCCATGCGTACTGGTATGAAAGCCCAGTTCCATATGGTAAAACTTAACGGTATATATTACTTTTAAACACATACCCAATAGACGCGAATTTGTAATCTGCCAGATGTAAGGCCCGAGCAACATGCAAAAAGAAGTCAGTACTATAGTGAAGTACTAAAAGAACCATACACAACTTGGTCAGCCTAAAATCCACATTCATAATAATTTTATGATTACCCTCCGACGTAAGCCAAAGACACTCCAAGTAGATATATTGTCGCATGAAGCAGTCGTGCAGGTATCAGTTCCTACCATATTAACAAATTTGAGGAATGTGACTTACACTTTTGACACGCTGAAAATAAAGCTCCGGATAATCATGAAGCCAGTAGCATATCTAGGAACAATAGCTAGTGGAAAGAGACGTGTACTTGAAGAATGAAAAACAACTTGATCCAAAAAGGGATCCATCTTTGCGGATAATCATCCCACAAACTACTTAGGCTTAGTATGAAGTTTTCACTAACTATGCTGTAAACTGCCCAAACTGCGGATAAGGCATAAAAACATGCAAGGTGCGCGGACTCGTTGAATTTAGCCAGACGCACTTTCGTCAAGCTTAATTTTCGAGTAACTTTCTATAGAATGTAAGTAAATAAGTTGAAAGCTTACATCGAAGATATACTCTTGGAGTACAGCATGGCACACAATACATATAAGGGTGTAGAAAAATATTGCGCACAAATCCTTTGCACCCGAACTGTATAATAAGGCATTTTCTTGGTCTGAAATTTCAGTTTAGAACTCTATTAAAGCCTACGTTCATCAGTATTATTATATTGGATAAATATGAACGATGAAGACAAAACGTGTGTCCCCTGGGTTAAATAATAACTATTACGAGTTGTCAAACCTTGTGCAGCAATCCAACGATGATTATCATTGCAACAACGCTAACAATGTCCCCATGGTTTGTAATAACAAACTCATGAGAAAAATATGGAGGGTTTTTCGACTTTTTACGACCAACTCTAGCGTTCATCACACTACTGCTGCAACGTAGACAGAGAATTGATATAAGCGCAGTAACACTAAGACCTTAGGATGTGTCAAATAATTCACTGTTTTAAAAAGGGATCAATATCAAATGTCTTGTAAGTTTTCCAACATCCAATATGTGTTTAACGAGCTTGTGTAAACCAGTTGATTTCTTCTTGCTCGCTTCTTGGTCTTGCCGAAAGGTTTGAGGTTTCTGGTAGATTTCGATGCAGCATGTCCAGCTACTCATCTGCTGTAGCTCTGGTATACAGAACAGGAGGTTAAGTGTTGGTTAGTTCGCCTTGGACTGTGGTACAGTTGTCTTCTTCAGATGTCGAGTTGCCAGACAGTTGCCTGGACTGGTCGTCAGAGAGTTGGGGATGGTGAAGAGAAAAGCTAGAAAGGAAAATTTGTGTGAGTAAAAGGGAAAAGAAAAGTGGACTAACGGAGTAATCTGCTTACACCCAAGTTGGGCAGAAAGGGGTGCAAAGATATGAAGAACTTAGGAAGGTAATTCTAACTCATGCCAAGTGGATGGGGTGAAAGGGGCTTAAATGGTTGCAGTAGAAAGAGAACTGGTTGTAGAGGTAAAATAGTCGGAGTGCCATGACAGTAGTTGATTTCTTCCGTCTAGTTCGTATTCCGGCTACATATGGGTGGACCATGAGTCCTTGTGTGACTGTCTAACCTTTTCCGGAAGCTTCCAACGGATGGCGAGGAGACCACTTCCGCTGGTAGTGCATTCTAGTGCCCGCAAGCTCGGAGGGAGAAGTGTCAACGCACAAAAGCTTTTGACCTTTGGTGCGCAATTCTCTTACGGTCTTCACTGGGATCACCATAGTAACCACTCCGTAGTAATCTTCCGTTTCGGTGACTTGGGTTGTTCAGCATTTTGCAAGCCATTATCAAGTCACCTCGTAACCTTCGGCAGCTAAGACAGCATGGGCCTGGGTCTTTCAGTCTATCCTCATATGGTTTTCGTTGCATCCCAACCCCTACCTTTTGTGGCTCGCCTCTGAACTTTCTCAGGTGGGTTCGTGCCTCGCCTAAGTTGTGGTGGAGCGGAGATATTATGGGTCTCCAAGTGGGGTTGTATGTAAGTCTTGATCATCTTGATCATCTAACCTCTGGATTGAGGGCATCCAGTTGTCCGCCCACAAAGTGCAGTACACCATAAGCTTTTGAGGCGTCACCTGGATAATTGGAACTGGTATCCAGTTTCTCCATCTCCATCGAACCCGAGCCTTTTTCCTCTGCGGTGCCGAATAAAAGTGGACCACAGAGACAGTAGGATGCTTTCCGTGAATCAGGAGTGCGGAAGAACATGGACCAGCAACCATCCAGGTTAAACGTCAGTTCGCTATTTGTTGCTCACTCCTCTAGTGTTTTGAGATCGTTCTGTAATGCACTTGATTCCGCTTCGCAAGTTACCGCCCTCAATAGCTCGATGTCATCAGCGCAGAGGAGAATCGGAGAGCTGATGTGCAGCGGGATGTCATTCAAGAACAGTAGGAGCAACAATGGACCCAGCATTGCTACTTGTGAGACACCGGACGACGATGTTCCCCAAGTTGAGTGGACCCTGTTGACTTTTGTGTGGAACCCCCTACTGTCTAAGTGGTTCTGCAGCCACGACAGCGCCCATCCGCGGATACCTAACAGAGCTATTTGTGTATTTGGAGGGTGTGAGACAGTATCAAAGGCTTTGACGAAATCTGGAAAAATTGCGTGGACCAGGACCTTGGGATTCCAGCATGCCCTTCAGTGACTATGGGCCGTTACGGGGGTGGAGGCACTGGACCTACCCTTTCGGAAGCCATGTCGAGCTTCATGAAGTGCCTGCTTCGTGTCCAGACATCCCCTGATGCGATCGTCCATCACACTTTCCATAACTTTTGATATTATGGGTAAAAGTGCTGTCGGTCTATAGCATTTGGATTCCGCCTGTCCCCTTTGAAGATAGGGGAGGGGATGGCTCGTTTCCATTTCCTTGGGTGTTTTTGTTTGTCCAAGGAGTGTCGAAATAGACTGCAGAGAGGGCCGCTTAGGGTACCTGCACATTCCTTCGGTACAGCTGGGCGAATGTCGTCGCACCCTGGGGATTTTCCTGCGCTTAGCTTTGATAGCTTAACGAGAACAACACGAGTTATGTGCACTTCGTGTAACTCTGCAGCGTCAGACAACTTTGATGGCTGTTCGCGTGGCAGATACGCATACTTTCGTGATGAAACGTTGGGCTGTATGTCAAATGTGGCGCTTAGCATCCCGGCGATCTCCTGTCCTGAGAGGTTTGCTCCGTTCGGACCTTTTATGATGCATGCTTCTCGGCCTGTCGATTTCCTCTTCGCCATGACTTGGTGTAGGTTTATGGAGCTTACCTTACGTTTTCTGGCGACGTTGGACAGTAAAGGCCTCTTGGCTCCCCGCGCCCTGATGTTGCTTCGATTTCACAGAGATGTTTATGCGTCGTGATCGTCCTTCTCTGTGGAGAGCCTCCACTTGTGCAGTGCCTTTCTCTCGGTCTTCAGAGGGCGCTCACTGTATCGTTTTTGGCATGAGGTCCGATTTCTGGGGGTCGTTAACACCAGGGGGAGTTTTGCGAGGTAGCCGCATTGATAGTGTACCTTAGCAGCTCACAGTGTTGGTCAACCGGTAAGGGCCACCAATCCACTGGCCATGGAGCTCTCGATGGGCTTTGCTTCATTCCTTCAAAGTTTGCCCTGTTATAAAGGAGGTAATGGCGAGGTCCCTCCTCTGATAACCGTTCACTGATTACTAGGTGGAACACCACCACAGCATGACCGTTCCTTCCGAAAGGAGTTTGGACCTGGACATTTTCAACCAGAAGTTGATCATCAGCCAGTTGGTACTCCAGTTTAGATGATGTACCTTCTTGCCCCCAGCGCGTGTTGTAGCCGATTTTTCCTTGCAATCCAGCTATTCGGATGGTATTTAGCAGGTTACAATAGAACTTTCGGCTTGGAATCGTACCACCTAGTTCCGGGCTGAGTTGGAGCGTTGAAGTCGCCAGCCATTAAGATCCGGTCATGCCCATATTCGACACTGTGGATACTGCCTGGAGTAGCTTTGGTTGTGTTCCAAGTTGCTATTGAGATACCCATAGATTCCTTCAACTTGGCACCCGACGTGTTTGACGATGAAGTGGCACCAGGTACAGTCTAGAGACTCTGCCGGTACACTGTCAGTGGTTTGGTCGTTTTTGAATCAACCGTTCACGTACATTACAACCCCCCTCCATCCTTGTATTCTCCATCTCTCCTGAACAGAGACATGTCGTCTAGGTTAACCTTTGCGTCACTTTAGGAATTGTCCTGGTGAGAACTTCATAGACGCACAAGCCAATCACTAATTATTTGAACTTGCTATATACCCACGAATGCGAGACCAGGGATGAACGCAACAGCATAGTCGGATGGAATAGTATATTTGGGTAGTTGTGCCAAAACACCGATGCATACCAACTGACTAGTTGGAGGGTCGATTACGAGCGATGCAACGTAACACGACAGCGCGATAAATGTCGAGGATGGTTGACCGTGTGCTTTCAGCTTAGCGAGTCCAGTTAAGTTATCAGGGCCAGCATCAATGTTGAATCTCATCAAACCCTAGGCTGTTGATTTCGGAGAAGTGGGTGACTTCATGGATCACTCCCCCCTAGTGGGTTAGTGAGGACCCCAAGACGATATTATCCGGATAAAAAACCCAGTGGCTTCTACACCGGTAAAACCCTTCCCGTGGGCTCACTGCGTGAAGTGGCCCCTGATTGTCTGACTTATTCTACGCTGTCGTGGCGAATGGAAAAATAAAGTACAATAAATCGGACTGCACGTCCATCGCGGTCTTAGTGTCTGTTGACGTTCAGTTCACCTGGGATATAAACAAAGTCTTCAATACCACGAAAACGTTTCGTAAAAACGGGAAACATTTACATATAAGTATACATATACACACATAAAAGTATACGAAAAATAGATTTTATGCTTATTTTCACTTTTTTGAAAAGATTTTATTGTGTGGCAGTAAAAGCATTGATGTAAGAAGGTAAAATGTAGGATGATTTTCTTGTTCCCAGTAAATAAAAGGATGGTGTCCCGAAAAGATTTTGGAATGAAAAAAATGCTTGGCACATTCATTACATTTCACACCGCTTAGGTGAGTATTACCTAAAATACTCCGAGAACCTGACGGTTTGACCTGATCGTGTCTTTTGTTGCGCCGGTGGTAGTTGTATCTGTGTGTTACCGGGCACATCGTCAAGAATTTTGGTAACCGGGCCATCCGCCGGTCGGTTAAGTGAGCCGAAACGTCACTTAGGAAGGGGTTGCCTTTGAATTAAGCAGGTTTCAAAAAGTCAATACCAACAGTATCTTCGCGTCCGTTTCACTCAATTATACGGAACATCTCATCTCGCCTGATCACTGTGAATGGCCTATCTTAAGGTGGTTCAGTTGGTCGACGGACGGCATCACGGCGAATGAACATGTACCATGTCTTTTGTAAAGTCGAGTGAACTAAGACATCAGCTGTTTGGGGCCTAACAGAAGTAGGCCTAACTGAATGCGCTGAGTTTGTAAGCCTAATCACGTAAGATTTTCGTCAGAAGCATCTGTGAAAGTTGAGTGGGAAATAAACTCACCTGGTAGGCGAAGAGTGGTCCCACAGAGGAATTCTGCAGAGGTGCAACCAGCATCAGCTCTCAAAGCGTTGCGAATAACTAGCAGGGCCAGAGGCAGAGCCCTGGTCCACTGAGTTATGTTTGCAACTGAAAGGGAGGCTTTCAGCTGTAGATGGAACCGTTCTACCGTGCCGTGTACTTGTGGATGACAGGTTGTCGAATGAAACCGGGTGAAAATTAAAAATGCAGTCAAAGCTTGAAATAATCCACACTCGAATTGGCTTCCACGGTTGGTTGTTGTGCAAGACAGAGGTCCGAAGTTCGCGATCTATCCCTCTATGAAAACACGAGCTACTGTTTCAGCAGTAATATCCATAATAGGTACTGCTTCGGGGCATCGCGTAAAACGATCCGCGCAAGTGAAAAGGTAGGCATATCCACCAGATTCTGGTAG